TTTGCTGATTCCAAAGGTTCCATCAACAAGGATAAGGCTTTGATGACCATACTTCCATGCATATTTTTGTTGTTCGCAGGTACAAATAATGATTTCTAAGTGGTCAGTTTCTTTAGTATGAGGTTGATAATGTAAGCATCTGATTTAATAAATAGTAAAAAAAAAAAAAAAAAAAAAAGAAAAAAAAAAATATATATATAATTAATAATTATAGAGGGTTACCAAAAAAATCAAGTTTGGCTTTGAAATTTATTACATACGCATCTTTGAGCTCAGATTGATCAGCGTCTGGTCCAAGCAACTGATCCAAGTTCTTTGCTGCATCATGTTTGATATTTATATTCCAGCTTGTCCGTAGCATTTGCTTCTTAATATTTGTAATATCCATTGCTGTAAGCAGCGTTCTGAAATTTCCGATTAAAGTATAATTTCTAAACACATTTTTTACGATTCTGGCATTTTGAGCAAGGATGTCTGAAGTTCTTACATTAAGACCTAGTAAGTTTTCAACGCTTTTTTTCACATATGGTAAGAGTCTATATGGTGGATCACACTGTGGTTGGGAAATTACACATTGGTCAGAATGTTTTAGGTATCCCGCAATGCCACAAATTTCATTATTACGAAGGAAAATTGTAACAAATGCAAGACACCCTACATAGGGATAACGAGCTGCTGGAATACGAGAACCAGATGCAACCTCTTTTTCGTGATAACTTCTACTTATGCACTGTTTGACAACTAATGTTTTACTTGAATATCGAATTGACTATTTACACCACACATCATCAGGATCAAGGTTAAGATTATTTTCTTTAAGCAATTGATCACGATTTACAACTTGATCTTTGTCGGATAAATCCCATTCCTTTTCAACTATTTCAGGTGCACCATTATCAAGCAAATCCTTAAGCTTAATTTTATTATCTTCTGTTAAAAGAAGGTGCGTGTTTAGCTTTGCTTTTATCCGTGGCTTGTAACTTCCTCTTTTTTTAATTTCATCAGAAATCTTGAATTTTGATAAAGACATTTGAAATCGCTAAAACTAGAATGAAGATTCAATAGGTATATTTAATGTTCTTTATATTGGCTTTGTAAAATGATTAGCCTTTTAAATACTATCTTTAAACTGTCAATTTAACTACGTATCTACTACGATTTAGACTACAATTTAATATAATTTGATAACTTAATTACAGATCAAACATGAAATTTCTAGGCAAATTTGCCTGGAATATAGATCCAGGCATATTTACGTTCATTTAGTTACATTATATTGTAATGACGTGCTGGCATGACTTAATAATATGTTGTAACTAAATGACGTAAATACACCAACACTTATCCCTTAGTTATTTTCCATGGAAATTCATGATTGATCTGTGATTAAGCTATCAAATTATGTTGGATTGTAGTATATATC